AAAAAAAAAGAAAACTCATGTCACAATAAAAATTTCCAGAATAAGAATCTATTGCTGTTTGGAGCATAGATAGTTCATGAAAATTGGGCTGTCCTTTTTTCCACAACTATATTACAAGTCCATCATACCTTTAATTCACTACTTTTGCTTCACAACTAAGTACAAACACAAAAATTCCCATGATGTTGAAATACCACATTTTTCCCTACCAAACTAGTTGACATAATCTCTTTCAGAAACTTCCACCTTATAAAAACTCCCAAATAGGTCCAAATTAAAGACACAATCTTTTGAGTCCTATTTTCCTTAACTTATCCAAACATGTCTAAGTTACACCATATTAGAAAACAGGCATTGGAAAAGGAGAAGCAAAACACAAACTTCAATTTATTTTCCAAAAACCTGAAAAAAAATCATCCCCTTGGCCTACCGAGAGCATGCTCGACCCTTTCGTTATCTTCTCTGTCGTTATCTTTGTCGCAGAACTCGACCGACTCTTCGTTAACCGATAACTCTACGTCGCTCGATCAGAAAATCTCGTTCGCCCTTCGTTTAATAGCTCCCGTCAGGAAAAAAGAAGCCCTCGGTAGCAAAATCGTGGAGATTAATTCTGGTGAGGAAGGACTTAGGAGGTGCAACTGGATTACCAAAAACAGTGGTAACTAAGCTACAAGCCATGATGATTCTTGATTTGTTACTACTTTGTTATTAACATTCATGCACATCATGTTTGCTTTTAATCTACAGACAGTTTTGAATTCCTGAAAATGTACATAAATTGATGGTCATAATCTTAGAAATTTTCTTTTTTTGTTATTAAAAAACTTTGATTTGTTGCTTTCACATAATATCTAGCTAATTATATGAAATATTTGTTCTGTTCAAACTTATACAATAATTTTTCTAATTGTAGAAATATAACATTATAGGAGTTGCAATCATTGTTGAATTCTTTTAGTTACCTAATTTCATGATCCTTAATACAATTCCTTTTAGTTAATGTTGGTAAACTTGAGACTATCTTAACATTTTTTTTATTTTTTTATTTTTAAATTTGTTTTTTCAAACCAATTTGAAACCGCCCGGTTACAGATAAAGTGTACGTACAATTTCACGACGAATGCTGGGGAGTTCCGGTTTATGATGACAAGTGAGTTAATTTTCATTGTACATTCAAATTCATTCCCAAAGTTGCATATTTATCGACTAATAATAGTTTTGTGCACAACAATAATATCTGCAAAAAAACCGAATAGTCGGCTTTTTGAGCTGCTAGCTATGTGTGGGATGCTTATGGATTTCAACTGGACTGAAATAATCAAAAGGAGACAACTCCTCAGGTACTAGAATTTCTAATTATCTCACATTTCACACTAAATAAATTATCTCACATATATTATAATCTTTTAATATAATCATTCAGAATTAAAAAATTTTAAACTCTATAATTTCAACAGAGAGGCATTTGCTGGTTTTGATCCCAAGATTGTGAGCAAAATGGGTGAAAAAGAAATAAGTGACATATCCTCCAACAAAGAACTAAATTTAGCAGAAAGCAGAGTCCTCTGCATTCTGGACAATGCAAAATGCATAACAAAGGCAAGTCCCTACTAATAAATAAATAAATTAAGAGGGTTTAATTAAAAATAATATGACTTAGTAGAGCTAGTATTATAAGTTTGATACATACTTACATAATGAGTGTGTGTTAGGTGAGTGAAGAATGTGGATCATTCAGCAACTACATGTGGGACTATGTGAGTTACAAACCAGTGATCAACAAATTCAAACAACCAAGAAATGTTCCACTGAGGAGTTCAAAGGCAGAGGTGGTGAGCAAGGATCTGGTGAGACGCGGGTTCAGGTTCGTGGGGCCCGTCATCGTGTACTCGTTCATGCAGGCGGCTGGGATGACCATCGACCATCTCGTCGACTGTTTCAGATATGCAGAATGTGTTAATCTTGCTGAGAGGCCATGGAGGCATGTGTGATATAATAATTAAACTAGTCCAATATAAAAAAAAAATATAATAATAATAAATGATTTATTAATATATGACTTTAGTTAGATAAGTATATTTTGGTAATTTACATGTAAGAAGTTTGAATGGATTATTAATTATCTGTTTCTGGCATTTTGCTTATGTATTTAAAGTTAAGAGAGGTATGTGTGAACTCATTTTTTTATTTTCCTTTTGGATTATTGTAACTATTGGATATTAAGCACTTATTTTGTTTGTAATTAGTTATCTAACATGGTGAGCAAATTTTTTTTCCCTTTAATTTTAGTGAGGGATTGTTAGGTGTGGGTTAGTTATGAAATAATTTTCATTTTCTTCCAGCTAGACAAGATTTTTTTCATTGAAGTTGTGATTTAATATAAAAAAAATTCACAAAATATACTTTCTTCATTTCATCTCATTTTTTTCAATTTAATTTTTTTAATAATTAATTATAATAATATATTTTTTTTTTGTCACATCAACTCTATATAGTATATTCTTTTGATATGCTATTGTACTCTGAACTGGTCTTCCGTTGCCTTCCAACTGATATAATCTCCGAAGACCGCAAAACACGCTGAGAATCTTCTCGACGTAAAACCTCCGACTGACGATGAAGTCAATAGAAAACTACAAAAGGTTGTATGTAAATGTAAACAATGGTATTGAGAATGTATAGTGTGATTAACCTCTTTTCGTTCATACAAGGACTTTACTATACAAAATTATTCGTCCAATAAGCAACTATCAGTCTATCACCGAACAAAGAGGTACGGAAGTAAAGAAAATTACATCGAGTTACACTCAACCTTCTCTTTCAGCTGAGCCTCAAAGGAATATCTATATGGCAACTCTCTTACTTTTACTTTTGCCAAACACGACGACTGGCCGAAAAAGCACTGAAACCAAATGTATCCCTATTATTCCGCACGACATGCGACCGATATATGGTGGATTAAACCCTCAAAACCGGCATGAAGTTCCGAGCCTCTGTCTCTGCTTCTGACCAGACATAACAGACTTGCCTTTGGCAAATGCAGAGAGGATGAGTTCCTGAAACTTGTCCAAAAACAGCTGCCATTCATCCTCGTTCATGTCCGCCAACTTCACGAAGCTGGTACTAGCCGGAAGCTGCTCGTTCGCACTCCTATGCTTGCAAGACACTGGACCATTAACAACAGAGCAAGAATCTTGTTTGGCCAAACTAATATTCGAGAAATTACTATATTTTATACCTAAGCTAGGGTTTTCGAGCGACATGGACTGTTTCAAAATATTTCGAGTTCCATTTCGAAAATTCGAAATGCTGACTAAACCTTTTCCATCGTCTCCTTCACTTTCTTCATCATCCTCATGCCCAACACATTCGTCGAGTTTAGAAAGTGGCGCACAGCAATTGACACTTCCGAACCGGGAATGAAAAGGCGGAACTGCTACAAACTCTTGAGAAGTCAATCTCGGTGAAAATATATAATCACCACATTTACCATCCTCACAGTCCAAATCGAACTGAGTTCCACCAAGATACACTTCAACTCTGGGTGAAAAAATCTCCAAGCCAACAAGCCTTCGTGCTTCCATGCATATAATTTCCAGCTCGCTAGGTCCCTCCTCCCCACCACGAAACTCCCGGCTCATCATCTCACCAATCTCGGCAAGACACAGCCCGTAAGCTGCTGCCTCCTTGAGAAAAGCCGTGCAGAGAAACAAAATTCGCAAGCAAGCCTCCCGAATCATGGGGAGCTCGCTCCTCAGCATCTCCAAGTCCCGGACAGGGTCGAGATTCCTAATGTACTCGAGCTCATCGTCCGAGAACGGGATCGAGGCCTGTGGCCAATGGACCCACTCGAAATACGGGTCCTCCAGACTCTCGGGCAGGCAGAGTCCATGGTCGATTGGGATCAGCTCTACCTCACCAAACCCCCCAGCATCATCCACCTTCCGAACCAGGAGATTCCCCGCATGCCGGTCCGTGTTATGAATTCTCACATCCAGAATCCCAATCCTGTGGACCGCAGCCACGGGGAAGCTCGACGTCCCGTAGTCCCCAGCGTCGAAATCGTGCCTCACGTACGCCTGGAAGGACGCGATCTTGCTCACGGGCTCGGGCTGGGGCTGGGCCACACCCGTGGAGCCGTTGACATTAAAGACTGAGTGTGTGATTTTGACGAGAGCAGTCGGGGGCACGCCTGCAAAGCCAGCGTGGTCAAGGAGATAGGCTGCGACCTCCCGGAAGCCCGTCTCCCCGACCCGAACCGAGCGCTTGAGGCCTGGCCTGCCAAGCGCTCGGCCTACAAACCCCTTGGGGTTGTTGGGCGCGAAGGGCTCCTCATCCGTGGGCTTCACAATGACAACACTCTCTCCCCAGATGTTCTTAAAGTAGTACGCGCCACCGAGCCCGCCGCGGACAGGGACAGGATCGACCCCATTCTTCATCCCCTTGACGACCTCCTTGACTAGATGTTTAGTCTGGGCCGAGCGGCCCAGTATCTCGATGGGCCCACTTGGGTCACTTTTGTGGCCGTCCCGGCCAGTGGGGGACAGACACGGGGTTGACGAGCTTCTGTGCATCAGATTCCGGGTGAGGAGGAGAGGGGAGTCGTTTTGGACTGCGCTGAGGTCGCTTTTGAGAACCGTGTCACCGAATGTTAAGGAGCTTTCCTCGATCGGGATGTTTAGGGCGAGCTGCAGCCGTTTCTTTACGGTGCGTACATTGTCACTCCTGTCGAGCTCCATTCCCAGCACGCTGCCGTTGTCCGTCTGCACGAAAACACGCCTCCAGCAGCTTGGCTTCCCTTCCATTCGGCAGTCCCCACCGGCAAGCGGACCTTTGAAAGCTGACATGGCCATCTGGGTATGAACAGGGCTGTCCAGGTCAAGAGATTTGAAAAGGAGACAATAACAATTCTAGGGGCACCAAAAACTATCATCAATTGGGAAACCAGATCTAGATTGATTTCGGCCACATAACTACATCAGAACACCATTCAGCACACCTGATGAGCCATTACACAGTATGAGTGATTCCTTACAACAGAATCTGAAAAACACCAAAAGGACTTGGTCACCAAAACTGAAAAGGTGAAAGAAAAAGTAGAAAAAAACCATCAACAGCGATGCGTGTGGGATTTGATCAAGTAACAAAACGAAACAAATAGCCCGCGACTACTTGTTAATAGCCCACCATATAGCAGGAATTTCATATAATAGCCTTCTTATCAGGTCCATGGGAACAAAAGAATTCCAGTTAATCCGATCACGGAAAGATTTAGGCAAAAAAAAGTTCCCCCTCCATTAAAATCTTGAAATAAAACTGTGAGTGACTCAGTTAATAGTACACGAAAACACACCCGTACTCTGCTGGATCTTGATTTTTGCACATTCGTCAAATGCTCACTCTTTCCATTAACGCATTTAATCAAACAGCTTCTCAACATAATACTATCAACTAAGAATCTTAATCCTATAAACACACACAAACAAGAGAATGGCTCAAAGGCAGCATATAGAACTCACTCGTTTCAACAGATATTAAAAAAAAAAAAAAATAAAGATTGAGAAAAAACGAGAAACTGTTTCGATGCGATAGTTTCAAAACGTGAAGCTAATAAGAGATCAACGCTGCAAATCTACTCACCGGAACAAAAAATCAAAGGACCCTCTCTTCCTTTCTTCCCCGGGCTACCGGCTACTGTAAAACGACCGCCGATGCAAAACGTTGGAAGTTCGAGCAACCCGGCGGTCGGAACAACGGGACAAGTCAACCAGATGGTTGAAATCTGGTTGACGGCTAGGATTTGATCGGAGTATCAGCTCTGTGCTTCAGGTGTGAAACTTTTTCGGGTGGATATATCTGTGGGCAGATTTATAAACAATTCAGACTCAGTGTCAAGTGTCAATTTATTGAACCATCTAACACTTACATCAACTATCATTCACGATTACATGATAATCTAACGGTTACAAACTAATTTCGTAACGAGATCTTAGTAACATCCCGTGAATTTATATAATCAGATTATCAGTAGGCTTTTATATTTATCTATTTTATTTATAATTTATATATTGCTTTATTATTATTTTTTTTTTCTTATGGTTAATTCCCTTTTATTTCTTCTCTTCTTTTTGGAATGTTCTGAATCTTCTGATTTAAATTTAAGTCCAGTGACTGAAGTTATGACCTTAACTACGGTTAGTTTCAACCCAATGCTGGTTAATTGTCCCCTTGGAAAGGTCAGAAGTAGCAAATGTCCGCCGTGGGATGGGAATTGAGAAGCAATCTTGGCCGTTTATGTGGTCGGGACTTGGAGATAACTGATTGGTGCATTGACTACTGGTCAGCGAATCTCATGGGTCTTGTTATAATTTCATTATTTTTTCCTTAACCGCAACTTTTCGGTAAACTAAAAATTGACCACGTTGACGTGACATGTAAATAAATCTAAGTTGTCGGATGACACATAATACAAAAATGTATAAGAATAACAAAATTAATTATGACGCAAAAAAAAAAAAAAAACACTTAGAGAGTCTAAAATTGATTTAAGGGTAGCCGTCTTTTCTTGCTACAACATAAGCATGACCCAACCTACTTGCAATTGCATTGGACTATATTTTTTTTGATTGAATCTATTTCCTACGTTGTCTGTATAATTTTTTTGAATAAACCCAAAGAATTGTGGATGCTCTTAAAATATTTTTATTGGTTGACAAGTATTGAAGATTATCTTATCGTTGCATTGAATAGATTTTTGGTTTTGGTACTTGGGTTTGTCCATGTCATTTAGGACTTACATCTATTTACATGTCATATATGTAAAATTTGACCTAATACATTGTGAGTGTTCCAATATGTTCTCTATTAAAGAAAAAAAATAAATGAGGAATAATTATTGACCGTTCAGGTTTGTACTTAGGTCCAAAATAGACTCAAGAGTGGACTTAGTCTCATTTTTTGACTGCCACATAAGTTAGACCATGCCCATGTTTAATTACATTGAAAAATATTTTTTTATAGACTAAATCTATTTCCTACATGTCATATGATATTTTATAAAGAATCAATATAATATGGGTGCTCTAAGTAAAATTAGACCAAAAATATTGTAGGTGCTCTTAGAGCATCTCCAACGGAACATTGTCCATTTTGTGTTGCATGGTGTTGACAACCGACCTGAATAACAAGGTATAAAATAATTATTTACAAGTATTATTGAAAGATTATTACTCGAGCCGGCTCACACGCCAAACTTGACGCAACTTAGTACTAGCTGAATATTAAATCGACTTGCCATATAAGATGCGAACCGACTTCACGTTCGAGACAACAACCGACCTCTCAAAGACCCCTTAGCAACCGACTTCTCAAAGGTCCTTTTCGAACGTTATCCCTGTAAACCGAGGTCCGAGATACCTACCTCGTACCGGAAGTCAAACAGAAACTACTATAAATAGCGAAATTTACAGTTGTATGAGGATCTTTTTTTTTTTTTTTTTTGCGCATTTAATAGATACATGCAAACTAACTCGGTTCACACTGAAACCAATGTCTTGTACTCAACTATTACTCAGCAAATAATACAAAACCTGCACTTCTTACGTTTTAATTACATATTGTTATAGTTGTTAAGTTTCATACAATAACAGTTTGACGCTAGAAGGAGACCTCGTAAGTAACATGAGGTTAATCTTCGATTTCCCACACACATGTCACATACCTCTTTACATTTATCATTCATACAAGCATCGTGTCTGAATCTGAACAACAAGAACAAACCTCAAGAGAGCTGGGCATAGTCTTGGCACTGCCCAGTCTGCCGGAAAAATAACTATGTTGCTGACAACACCAGATTTTTCAGCTCTCTTTCAAAACCTAGAGTTTGTGAAAGGTTTTTCTACTTTAATGGCTCAAACCATGCATGGGACATCTATTCCTACTCCCAGAAAGTCTATTGCACCAGTTGTTCCGGCAAAACCACTAACACCGCCGGCACAAAGACGTCATCCACGTGCGGCCACGACACATGCAACCTCACAGCCACACAACAGTTGCCGCAAAAAGAAGGGCTTGCAGCTCAAGCTCATAATGATTCTCCAGTTGTCCCCGATCAACCGGTGGCAAACCTACAAGAGATGAATGCTGAGAGTCACTCTGGTCATTACCAACGACTCCCCGCAGTCACACGACCGACATTACCACAGCCAAAGTAGCAAACCAACTTGCGCCAGAAAATAAAGAAAAATCATTCAAGGCACGAGTCTGTGGAATTAGAGATACTTTGGAAGAAGGTTGTCGAGTTAAAAACTCGGCAGAAGATTCAACAAGATTCCCCCTGAAGTGACTCGACGTCGGGTCATGTTTATGTAGAAGCTGATTCTCCTTTGGCACCCGAGCTCACAACAGAGTCCTTATCTGGAAAGATTAAAGTTTCTCAGATAGGCCTTTACGACTGGACCTTAGATCCCGATGCCCACCTCTGTTAATACACCTCGTGGATGGACTTACACGAGGCCACAGATGCGCTGCGGTTTCGTATGTTCTCTCTTACTCTAGGACCTAGGGCTAAAAATGGTATCATTCTCTACCCCATCATTCCATATGGAAGTGGCAAAAATTGAGGTTGCGTTCCGATCTCACTTTATTGGAGCCCATATATGCTTAATTCCAAAGGATTCAATTACTAATATCGTACAGAAGGACGATGAGAGCGTTAGGATTACATAGCTTGGTTCAATGAGCGTGTACAAAATATGGAACCGTTTCGTTCAGAAACATTGTTGGTTTCTATCATAGCCGATTTGAAACCGAATTCTTTATTCCGATGGACACTTTGTCAAAATGAGCCCAATTTGTTTCAATAATTTCTTGCTCGTGCTCAGCAACACATAATTGCTGATGAGTCAATGTCTATACCAAACTTTGATTTCTTGCCAAAAGAAGCGATGTCAGGAAAAGAAGGAAAGAAGAAGAAGAACAAATTATTTGGTAACAAGTCGCGGAAACCTCAATTCGGGGGCTCCTCGAGAGGAGATTTAGATAATCCTGAGACAAAAGCAGCAAAGAAACAATATACTGAAGATTTAAAGTCGAGTTATCAAACTATTTACTCGGCTGGAGCTGCTATCATCATAGAAGAGTTGAAGGGAAAAAGAATCATTCCCGAACCAAGGCCAATGAAAATCCCCGAAGCCTGGCTCGATAAATCTAAGTATTGTTCATATCACAAATGAGCTGGACATTATACTAATGAGTGTCTAAGTCTGTTGTCGACGTTATTGAGGTTAATCGGACGTCCCCATGTCCAAATATTCACCAAAAATTCCAATTTCAAACGCAAAAGGAAGACCTCATGATTTTCCCGATGACGAAGAAGATGACGACAGAACGGTGAACCCAAAAAGAATCAGGCAACGGGACAAGGAAGTTTTTACATTCACCTCGGACATGCCAGGGGCCTCATCTGGAAAAGACCACAAGAGGGCTAGAAGCAGTTATTCCCCGAGTTCTTTCCACTGCAATTATATCCCTCATGTAAACATCAACGACGGAAGACCTACTTGCTCACGCCGACAAGCAAAACCTATTCACAAAAGGCATACAATTCGAGTAAGAACATCTTGACTGCTGATCTCAGAGATACGATCAATGCTCGTAATTGTCCCATCGCTTTTAGTGTTGAAGATGCTAGCTTTTTTGCTCATCCTTATTCTGATGCCCTCGTCATCACCGCCCCAATTTGTGGAATACCAATTCACCGAATTATGGTGGATACGGGGGCCTATTCAAGCATCTTGATGCTTAGGGCGTTTGAAAAAATGGGAATTTACCTCACTGAAATCAAACC